CTGTGGGAGGTTGCCTGGCTGCAGGAGGTTGGCTTTGGGAGCGCACTGACCACCAGGGGGCAGCTCCTGTGTTGAGCATCTGCCCCTTGATGGTCAGTGCGTGTCACAGTGACTGGTCGACCAGTCGTTCGCTTGCTTAGGCTTTTATATATATAGATTAACATGTAATGTGTTTAGATGCCTTTAATTCTGGTTTCAATCCATTTGGACGTATAGCTTGGAACATGAATAGAAAGATAATATGCTCTTTGTCTTTAAATAACTAATCTCTAAGGTTTTAACACAAAAGACGTGTGCCATTTGGAGAAACATTTTAAATATTGAAAAGGTCAGTGTCCTGCCTATTATCACTGAACTGTTTGTTGTCTCCTCAGTACTCAGAAATCAGTGTCATAAAGTGCAAAGTGATGTATGCACAGCTCCTTCTCTAAAGAATACGAATTAAACTTTGTATTTTACCTTGTAAAGTGGGAAGATACAAATCAAAGGAAGCTATTTTTATTAAGAATTCATTTTTCTTATGACTAATTTTCTGAAGCCCTAAAAACATAGAAGTATTCTTTGGTAATTGTCCGGGGTCAGCAAATTTGTTCTGTATAGCCAGAGAGTAAATACGTTAGGCTTGACAGGTACACTGCCTACCGCAACTGGTCGACTCTGCTACTGTAGTGCAAAAACAGCCATGGTCAATAAATGAGCACAGTTGTGTGTCAATAAAACTTTATTTATAAAAATAGGCATAGGTAATAGCTTGCCAGTTCCTACTCTAATTCACCCCATCTTCCCAGATGTTCCTTTAGACCAGGGGTCCTCAAACTTTTTAAACAGGGGGCCAGTTCACTGTCCCTCAGACCGTTGGAGGGCCGGACTATAGTTTAAAAAAAACTATGAACAAATTCCTATGCACACTGCACATATCTTATTTTGAAGTAAAAAAACAAAACGGGAACAAATATAATATTTGTATTTGCATGTGGCCCACGGGCCGTAGTTTGAGGAGCCCTGCTTTAGACTGTGCAAGAATTCAGAAGCCATCCTTTCCACATTCTACTCTCCCAGCACTAACCTGAAAATGCCACAGGCCTTTTCCCTCTTTCTTAGGTACCTAATATGGGCCAGATAGTATTGGCACGGGGGCGGGTGCATCAGCAAACAAAGCACACCATCTCTGTTCTCCTGGAACTTACGTTCAGGTGTGAATTTGTAGAATATCTATCTTGGGTTTGCATGTTCAGAGTCCTTTCTCTCACTTTATTCTCATGCAAGTCAATGGTATTATAATTATTTTGATGAGAGGTCAGGTTAATTGCCTACAATCTCTAGCTAGTAAGTGACAGAACCTGCCTGACCCCAAAGCCCACACACTTTCTCTCCCACACTGGATTTACTGTTTTCTCTATTAAATCCAGAATCCCACCTCCATATTCTAACCCCATCCTCCCAGTTCAACCTGTTTTAAGAAATCAACTTCTTTTCTTTGTTATGTGCTCAGTTCTGGTTAGAGAAGCATCCCACCAAAACACAGCTAAGGCCAGTTTCTGGACTCCTCCCACCACCTGTTATATTTCCCCTGACTGAGAAGCCCGCCTTACCAAATTCCACGCAAAAGACAAGGCCCACCCTGGCTGGTATGGCTCAGTTGGTTGACAGGGTCTTGTGCATCAGGAGATTGCTGGTTTGATTCCCAGTCATGTATGGGAGGCAGCCAATCAATGTTCTGCTCTCACGTCGATGTTTCTCTCTCCCTCTCCCTTCCTCTCTAAAAATCAATTAAAAAATACAAAAACCCAGAGGACAACCAGTTGGCCTTTTTTGGGGAGAGCTTCCATGTTGGAGAACCAGAAAGCATCCATGTGCCATTGTCACTGGAAAGGGAGCCTGGCCCTGTGTGGGTCTCCCTCAGCCCGGCCACTAATGTGTGGGTTCTTGACTTTGTGCAGAAAAAATTTCACAATACAAGGCCAGGTGACTTTGGGGGAGCGTTTATTAAAGCTGGAGTCACATTCTGTCCCCATGTAGACTGTGTCAGAATTGAGATGAGTCCTCACTCTGGGGGTGTCCAAGAATCTGTGATGTGGGAAAACACACACACACACACATGAATTGGGATCTGGGAACCCTTTTCAGTTCCCAGGTGCTATTCATTAAAAAAAAAACATTAATGTGCCCAGCTGGCATGGCCCAGTGTTTGAGCTTCGATCTATGAACCAGGAGGTCACAGTTTGATTCCCGGTTAGAGCACATGCCCCAGTTTCAGGCTCCATTCCCAGTGGGGGGGGGGAGGGGGGGGGGGGTGTAGGAGGCAGCTGATCAATGATTCTCTCTCATCATTGATATTTCTCTTCCTCTCTGAAATTAATAAAAATATATTTAAAAAAACATTAGTGCATATTCTTAGCTAAGTAATAAACCCTAATATATTGCTAATTCAGAATCTCCGTGTTTCAGAGATACTGATAAAAATAGCAAGTGATCACCGTGTTGTAGTTAAGATACAGTAAGTCTGACTCTGATCTGATTGAAAGATATACCCTGAAAACATTGAGGGTGTCATTTGTTTTAAGCAAATCTATGATATCAGGCTGTCATCATCACCCTTGTTCAACACTGAAACAGTGAAATCCTGGATAATAGCTTAAATACCATTAGTTGTAAATTTACAAAGATTTATGATCTACTATAGGTTGATGCCTAATGTTCCAGCGATGTGTGCACTTGGGCAAATTAACCTAAGCTTCAGTTTCCTTATTATTAAATTGGGATTAAAAAGTAGCTACTGCGCTGGTAGGTTTAGCTCAGTGGATAGAGCATAAGCCTGCAACTGTAGGACCCGGGTTTGATTCCAGTCATTGGCACATAACTGTGGTTGGGGCTTGTGTGGGAGGCAACCAATCGATGTGTCTCTCTCACATTGATGTTTCTCTCTCTCTGTCTCTCCCTTCCTCTCTCTCTAAAATCAAATAAAAGCAATATAAATCAATAGAACAAAATCAATAAAGGCATGTCCTCAGGTGAGAATAAAAATTAGTTATCTCATAGGATTATAGATAATATATATGTAAAGCACCTAGTACAGTATTTGGCAACATATAAAAATATCTATCTCCATAAATATTAGCTAAGATGAAACATTTCAAGTGAGATTTTATAATATAGTGATAAAAATCTTCCAACAGCTATGTACTTAAAATGAAATGAATGTACAGTGATAGATGGTTATTAGACTTATGTGATCACTTTATAAAGTATATAGACATTGAGTCTCTATGTTGTGCACCTGAAACTAGTACAATACGTCAACTATTATAAAAATAACTTTTAAAAAATATATATTTTATTCGTTTTTTTACAGAGAGGAAGGGAGAGGGATAGAGAGTAAGAAACATCGATGAGAGAGAAACATCGATCAGTGGCCTTCTGCACACTCCCCAATGGGGATGTTCCCGCAACCAAGGTACATGCCCTTGACCGGAATTGAACCTGGGACCTTTCAGTCTGCAGGCCGACACTCTATCCACTGAGCCAAACCGGTTAGGGCTAAAAATAACCTTTTAAAAATAAATAAATGACAAGATGATTCTAAGTGAAGCCTAAGAATAAAAGTGAATGTCAAACACATGCCCATTTCCCCTCCGCACAGCCAATGAACTCAGGACAGACTCTCAGCATAAGTGCCAACTGCACCAGCAGCCACTTTAATTTTGATGGCCGCATCCAAACTCCTTCTAGCATTAAACCTCAACAAGCAGTGAAAATCCACAAACCAAAAATCTCAAGTGACAACTCACAAGAATACCAGTATTTGGCAAGCATTTTCTTTTATTAAGAAAAGATACCGAAACAGTCAAATTCAAAACTCAAAAAGTTCCAGTTTCTAAGTTGCAAAATCAACACATAATGAAAAAATTCAATGACATTTAAAAATGTAAGATTAATTCTTTTCATTGAGTTCCTCTACTTGTGTTTGCAAATAGAGAGAGCGGCGTAACCGGGTCAGGGATTCATTAGCCTGTCAACAAGAAAAGAAAAAGTCCTTGATCAGAAAGCATAGGAAACACATCAGCATGACTGCTGGGGAGAAAATGTCTCCTTCCAGCGGTTCTCAACCTGTGGGTCGCGAACAATGAAAATACATCCTGTATATCAGATATTTACATTACGATTCATAACAGTAGCAAAATTACAGTTTTGAAGTAGCAACGAAAATAATTTTATGGTTGGGGGTCACCACAGCATGAGGAACTGTATTAAAGGGTCGCGGCATTAGGAAGGTTGAGAACCACTGCTTAGGTCAATACATATACTAAATTACTAGTGACAAATACCAACAATCTTTCAATTTATATGGATCCTTCCCTAAAAGGTGAGTTTAAGGTTTCTAATACGTTCTTACAGTTCTTGTTATATTAGTTCTTCCACTTCTAATGGGTTTTCAAGTGTGATTCAGTGGTGAGAGTGCTGGCCCATGGACTGAAGGGTTTTGGGTTTGATTCCCAGTCAAGGGCAGGTATCTGGGTTACAGGTTCAATCTCTGACCCCTGATTGGGGCTCATGGAGGAGGCAACCAATCAATAGGTCTTTCTCACAACAATGTTTCTGTTTCTTCCCTCTCCCTCCTTCTTTTCCTCCCTCCCACCCTCCCATTCTCTCTAAAAATCAATGGAAAAAAATATCCTCAGGTGAGGATTAACAAAAAATTTAAACAAAACAAAACCAAAAAAGAATCCACTCTGTAACCTGTCAGTTTCCCTTTCCCCCCTCAACTTTATTACCTTAAAAAATTAATACTTTACAGAGTGCTCCTTTAAGTCTTAAAATGCCCAGTTCTCTATATAAACTAGTTGGAAGAACTTTCCTTAGTCTTCTTGGATTGGATCATTCAAATGGAAGAGTATCCACTAATTTTTTAAATCATCATTGTATTTCTCCTAAGTAGTGATTATATGAAATAAAATAAAAAAGTCTCTTTAACTCTAATTTTTGGATTATTTAATTTTAGTAATATCTGGTATGTGTTTTTCAATTGAGGAATGGATAGTTGAGAAGGTACAGGTAACAAAAGATATGATGCTTACTGGCTATTAAATGAGTATACATTGAGCAATAGAAGATATTTTTATCAGAACTTTTTTCTTATAAAATTACTAAGAGAAATTTAAAATTTAGTTATATGTTGAGAAGTTGCCATCTGAACAAGCTAATGAGTCCACTGGGAGGCCTAAAAAATAGGCCTAAAAGCTGCCTAAGAAATAGGCTCCGGAGACAACGTTTTGGTTCATACACTGGTTTCCCAACTTTCTAACTGTGTATACCAGGAGGCACCTCCATCTGCTCATCTGACAGCTGGAAAACATTGAAGGAGGAATACCACACTGATTCTCTTAGTTTTAGGGAGAACATGCAAATGCCTTTAAGAGCTTAAAATTCTTTTATAGTGTCCATTTTCCTAGAATTCTTTCTTTTATGTTCTTAATAGGTGACAAATTGCAAATGAGCCTGATATTGGGTTGTTTTCTTTAAAAACACACACTCACCTAGAAAAAAGATTTCTATTGGAAACTATTATTTTACTATCTCAAAGTCATTTAAGACATTTTCACATACACATTTAGAGCTATCACCATGTCAAATACAGAACACAATAAAACTGTAGGATATGGAATAGTATCAGACAAGTCAACTATTTCACAGAACAAACCGCAATTTAACCGGTGACAATAAACCACCAATTATATTTTCTTGACACTAAGTTCTGGCTCCCATACAAGACCAGCTATATAAAGTGCTGTGTTTGCAGTAAAGTACCTTAGCAAGATCTTCTTTTAACTGGTTGTATTGCACCACATCAAAATGCTGTTGCTTTGATTTCTTATAAAAGAAGTGCAGAAAATGCCTACTCTTAACAGCGGAGTAAGTATAATCCTAAAAAAAGAGAACGTGTTTTAAATGAACATAATGCCTCTACAAGAAAGATACATGCCTTAGCAACACTAAAGCAAAGGCAGATGAGTAAAATATTTGCAGTAGCTACCAGAGCAAGCATAAGGCAACACAAGGAAAACATTTAGTCTCATTTGGAATCAGCTGCTACTTTCAAAAGCAAACCAGCTGGGAAGGGAATCACACATACTGGGAGAAAGAGAGAAATGGAGATTTCTGGCAAAATAATCACGAGATAAAGCTGAAGTTACTGGGTGTTAGGCACATTCTTGCGCTCCATTATGCCCTGCCAGGGGCTCTTGCCCCTCCCGGTGATTTTCCTATTATTCTCATTATAGGTTTCAGGATTAACAACATTCAGTTTCCAGTGAACTGCCTACACCTGGCCCCCACCCGCACCTGGTCTGACCAGCTCCTGTGACTGACCTTTACAAGAGACATAAATATCCCGCTCCCCCTACTCTGCCCTGCTGATGCCATTTTGGTCTCAGCCCTTCTGCTCGCAGATGTAACAATAAATTAATAATTCTTTACCCCTTTGGCCTCGTGCATTCTTCCTTCGGCGACCCTAACACTGGGTGTTTTGCAATACAAATTCAATTTTATTTGTAGATGAGGGAACAAAGAACATACATTTAATATGTTATCTCAATGGAGGAATCTCTGGGTTGTAATATTTATTTTTCTACAGAAGTTACATATAGTTTCTCTGGGCTGAATATAAATCTCTATCCTCATGACAAAGAACAAGAAAATTTATCAGCTTATAACAATCCAGATAGCAATAATTCAGTAAATAAAAAGGCTTTATTGCTCATTACTTGGCTTGGATAAGGAATTATTTGCAGATGTGCTAACTTACCATTTTCCTAACAAAGTACTCACCTGTCGAGTGACTAGAAAGTATGCAAAAAAGACCATGGAATTTGCAAATGTGATGAAGTATGTAACTGGTTCCATGATATCCCAGGAGTACACCCACCAAGTGAGCCAGGCCAAGGCCCCACCCTGAACGGACAGCAGCGCCAGTCCAGCCCACAGGAGTCCACTGGTTTTAGCTGTGGAGCGAGCTTCAATTTTAGCTTTCATCTGAGAAAAATAAAAAGATGGTTAACTCAGTTTACAAGAAAAGAGACAAAGATAATGCATGTCTATTAAAGAGGCCTGATTTATGAAAACTCAGAGTTTATAAAACATATACATTAATCAGTTCATGAATAAATTTTTTAAATTATAAAAGTAATACCTGCTCATAAAAAATTTTTAAATAGAATAGATGAGTATACAATGAAAACTCAAAAGCCATCCTCTGAACCCTCCCTAAAATTACATGCTGATTTCCTTCAACCCAGCAATTTCACTTCTGGAAATTCATCCTGCACACGTGTGATTCATGACAGATTCATTTTTAAGATTAAAAGACCTAAAATTATCCATCTATCCATCAAGCTACTATGCAGCTGTAATGAAGAAGCTCTCTATGCAGCCCTATGGAGCTCTCTCCAGGATGTAGGCACACGTCCAGCGTATAGCAGGCTCAGCTGCAGACCACCACCATGAAGTGAACATTGCAATAAAGTGAGCCACGTGGATTTTTTGGTTTCCCAGTGCATATAAAAGTTATGTTTACACTATACTGCAGTCTATTAAGTGTGCAACAGTATTGCATCTAAAAAAGCAATGTACCTACCTTAATTTAAAAACACTTTATTTCCAAAATTATTAACTATCATCTGAGCCTTTGGCAAATTGTTATCTTTATGCTGGTAGAGGGTCTTACCTTTAATTTGCAAAAAAAAAAAAAAAAAAAAAAAGGCAGTATCTGTGAAGCACAATAAAACTAAGAGAAATAAAATGAGATATGCTTGGATACTGTTAGTGAAAAAATGTAAGAATAGTGGGTAATAGCCCATGTCCTTTTCTGAAAAGGGGAAAAAATAACATATTTGCATTTGCACATAAAATCTGAGATGGTTCACAGGTGTGGGAGGACAGTGGGAGAAAAACTTCCCTTTGGCCAACTTTTTTAATCTTAATAAACATATCACCAATTTTTTAAAAAGAAAAATTAAAATGTAGGTATATAATCCATTAAATAATAGTAAAAAGTCCCCCTCTCTGCCATCCCTAAATACCCTAAGAGTTAATCACTATTAAGGTTATTTTATCTCCAGAAATTTTCTATTCATATACAAAGTTATACATACACCTACCCTTTTTCAAAATCACAAGTAGAATCACAGATTTAAGAAATGCAGTATTTTTCCTTAAATTAAAGCAGACTCCACCACCTACTCCCCCGAAGTTACTTTTTTCTCCACCACTGATCAACCTCAGATGTTAGGAAGTCAACACTAACTTTCCACTTGCAGTTCGGTTAAGCAGAGCTGGAGCCATGGGCCTATTCTCTGATAGAGAAGCTGGGGTAACAGTGCAGCTAGTGCATCCAGCTCCTATCATACTCATTTACAGAGACACCACGGTTCTCCATGGAGAGGAAGCAGGGCAGAGTTTAAGACGGCAGCTCTAGAGTCAGACCACCGGAGTCCAGGTTCTGGCTCTATGGACTAGCTATGTGCCTTTGCTGTCTCCATTTCCCCATCTGAAGAATTAGAAAGATAACAGTACCAAACTCGTGGCTCCCTGTGAGGATTAAAGGAGAACATGAGTATATGCAAATCATTCAAACTAAGAATTTTCTTCGTAATATGACCTGCTGTTTCTTTAAAAATCTTCATACAGGAAGAGTAAGGGGACTATCCACTGCCAGAACCCAGGTGAATACCTCACCTCAGTTTGTAGAAAAATGCTCCCGTGGACAGCACTCAATAAAAACTGGGTATTATTTTTCAGACTCAACTGTGATGTTTCCTAACCTGTTCGAGGGGCTGCAGCTGTCCCTTCAGGTGGTCGATTTCCTCCAGTAAATGGTGCTCTCTCTTTTTCTGAAACTCTTCTAAATGCAAGGCTGTAAACAGTCTGTGAACCAAGGATTTCATATTTTCCAACTCAGTGGCGTGCTCACTACTCGGTTTTTCTGAGAAAAGACACAAGGGAAACATAAGGCAGTCACCACAGTTTTTCCCTCCAGGGTCTGCAAGTCCCGGGACCCACATCTGATTCCCGGCGGCCGGCCACCGTGGCTGGCCCATCAGCCCTCCTGACTCCTGGGAAGCGTTTGGATGGGCCTTTCTACCCATCTCAGGTGATCGCGTTAGTCCCTCTCATACAAAGACAATTTGGAATGATAAATTACCAGACAGTAGGCTTAAAATCACTATGTTTTTGTTTGGCTTTTTTCTTTGTAATAAGACTTGTTGTTTCTTTAAAAATCTTCATACAGGAAGAGTAAGGGGAATATCCATTATCAGGACCCAGGTGAATACCTCACCTTAGTTTGTAACACATTCGTTTATGGGCTCACTTTTATTCCCGAGTTCCACTCAAGACCCCTCCCCCAACCCTCCAACCAACTATCCAAAAATTATTTTAGGATCCACAGGGGAGGGAAGCCGGTGTACAAACATGTAAAGAGATGTATAATATACATTTGAAAAGCAATTCAAGTGTAAGCTCTTTACAGTAAGAGGTTCAGACTGGCAAGTCGCCATGACTGAGTCTTTAACATAGAGTTGATTCTTTTGATTATGGATTTCTCTCATCCTTTCACCTCTACGGATCTATGAATTCACATGAAACTGGGCTGTCATGATACCTTTCGGAAGACTCGGCCATGGAGAGAACCTGAGGGAGCGGACAAGGTGAGAGGAAGGACCTTCCCAACAAGCAGCAGCTAACAACTGCAGAGACTTAGGATCCTGGAGTCACTATTAGCCCAGCGATTTTTCAGGTTTTGCCAAGAGGCCTGCAGTTATTTCTCTTCCATCTCCACCCATTTCTAGACTTATTGTGGTCTTTAATCCCTTCCACATTATAAGTTAACGCTGCCTCAAAGAGGTGAAAACCAGAAGTTCCCTTCTAGGCTTTTGAGATTTGCAGAACAGTCAGGGCCCTTTTGTTTTGATGAAATATATACTGATATTTAAAAGATCTCCATACAGAAGCAAGGTATAGGTGGGCCACGATTTTGTCCAAAGCTGTGGTGTGTATCAAAGACAAAAAAAAAAAAAAAGCCAGACACTAGTTAAAAACGGTAAAGACAGACTTTATTGAGTAACTACTGCACAGGGAAGAGGATCCAGCGAGAACTGAACTCAACTTCTATTTGCCCAGAGGTGACTGTGCATTTTAAGGGAGAGATGGGAGCATCAGGGACTTGAGCAGAGTCAGGGAAGTGGAAATTTACAAAAAGTGAGAATGGGAGGTGGTTAATGAGACTAGGCCATTTGGATTTGTTAACTGGCGCTTGCCAGAGCAAGGGGCCCAATAGGCTGGGAGAGCGAGTGTTACCTCCTTGAATGTCTGCATTGCAAAGAATAGCCTCTCTGGTTCCTAGGGAGACAGCTCCGGTGATAGGAGTAGAGAAAGGGTTTATAATTGCAAGCTTCTTACAGTTATTGCTCTGAGAGAGCGCTCAGACCTATCTGACTATCAACAGGCTTTCGCTGGAGCAAACAATAAATTCTCCTGAAAGTGTTGAGCTTTCTCAGGCAAACATTTCATCATCCCAGGGATATGGCCTTGAGCTGTTAGAAACTATGCTGGTGTTTATGCAAGTATTTTAGTGTGTGTGTGTGTGGGGGGGAGGGGGTGAGTTTTTACAGGCCAAGGTGAGGCCTAGCTAAGAAGAGGGCTCTGACCAGCTGGACTAAAGTTTGGTCAAGGAGACAAACTAAAGAAAATCAATAAGAGAAAGAAAAAATCTTGAAAAAAGGCAGAGGAAAAAAACACCTTACCAATAATTCCCTCTTATTTTTGGCTTTTGTTAGGAGATACCAGAGACAAACATTTAAATTTATAATGCAACATATGAATTCTGCAATGCCCACATTTCTGAAAGAGGGTAGCCAAGTATTTGCCATTGAACTCAGATAAACATTTTGTGTCACTTGACATAGACTGTCTCCTTGACCTATAGAAAAGCAAAGATAAAGTTATATCTACAAAGGGAAAGGGGGGCAGTAGAAGAGTATATGGAGAAATAAAAAATAAATAATAAACAAAAATATTTAATAAAAATGAAAAAAGTTATGATACATCTGACTTCTATGAAACTATACAAGAAGGGGGTAGAGTGAAATATTCAAAGTGTTTACAGAAAATAACCACCAACCTAGAATTCTGTATCCTTCCAAAGTGAAGGAGAAATGAAGACTCTCAAACAAAAATAGCGGCAATTTGTTGCTAGTACATCTACTTTGCAAGAAATGTTAAAAGATCTTCAGGGAAGAAAAATGATACATGTCAGAAACTTAAATCTACATAAAGAAAGGAATTCTACATTAAAGAAAGTATAAGGGGAGATACAATCAAAACTTAGTTTTCTTTTTTCCTTATTCTTAATTGACTAGTGGCCTGGTGCACGGATTCGTGCACATTGAAAGGAAATTAATTAGAAGAAATATTTTGATATTGCTGTTTGCCCTTTCTCTATAACAGAAGTGTCAGAGGTGAAAGAAAATTAGTAAAATGTATATGAAAGTAATATGTAAATTGATTAAGTAAACAATAACAATGATATAACAAAGACATGATATAAAAACAATAAAAATATGATATAAAAACATTGATAAAAACAATGACTGATAAATTGATTAAACTTATTCTAATATCTCTCTGTATACCACATGAAGAGTAAAAACACTTTCAGAGTGCTTGACTAATTTCCCTTGTGATGAAGTATTTACAACTTTAACTGATAATTGCACCTACTTTCAATTTTAATTTATGATGCGGCATTCCCGAAAGAGTAATACTATTAAGAAATTCAATGGGAAAATTTTCCTTTTCAATATCATCCGTTGAATCGATGGAATCATCACTCAAATGTCAACAAAAACAACCAAATTCACAATAGACAATGACAGATCCAAACACACCGCTGGCTGGCGCCAGCAAGAGCATTATATGTATCATGCATGTGCAAGTCAACTTTTATTTTCAAATTGCTAGTGCGTATCATATGTATTGGCCGGTCAGTCGGACTGTTGGACAAATGTACAGTTGGTCACCTAGCCTTTTATATATATAGATATAACAGAACAGTTTGTTCAAAATAATGATAGCAAAAATATATTCAATAGTGATAGCTTATATATACATGAAATGAATGACAATGAATGGGAGAGAAGAATTAGAAATATGTGGTTATGCCCTAGCTGGTTTAGCTTAGTGGACAGAGCATTGGCCTGTGGACTATAGGGTCCCAGGTTCAATTCTGGTCAAGGGCACATGCCCGGGTTATGGGCTCAATCCCCAGCTGGGGGTGTGCAGGAGGCAGCCGATCAATGATTGCCTCTCATCATTGATGTTTCTATCTCTCTCTCCCTTTCCCTCTATGAAATCAATAAAAACATGGGTTTAAAAAATAAAATAAAATGTGTTAATATACCAAAGCCAATTCAAATACTTAAAAAAAAGAAATATGTGGTTATTATAAGGTATTTGCAATGTCTGTGAAAGTAGACTTGGATTATTTTTAAATATATATTGCAAAATCTAGGGCAACCACTAGGAAAAATTTAAGAAGCATTACTGATATACTAAGAAGATAGAACAATATAAATGTTCAATAAAAAACACAAAAAGCAGAGAACCCATGAAAGACAAAATTAGAAACAAAGAACAATGGCAACAAATAGAAAGCATTAACAAAAATCCTCAACAATATATAAGCAGATTAAATCCAACAATGTTAAAAAGAATTATACACCATGACCAAGTGGGATTTATTGCAGATATGAAAGGCTGACTCAGCATTTAAAAATCAAATCATGCAATCCATCACATCAACAGGCTAAAGAAGAAAAATCACATGATCATATCAACAGAAAAGCATTTGACAAAATCAGCAAACTAGGAAGAGAGGGGAACTTCCTAAACTAAATAAAAACATATGACATAGTATTTAATGGTGGAAAACTCGAAGATTCCCTACTAAAACAAGGAAAAGAGCAAGATGTCTCCTCTCACCATTCTTTTCAAAATCATACCACAAGTCTTAGCTAATAAAATAAAAAAGGAACAAAAAAACCAAACGTATTAAGGAAGAAATAGGCTGGTGATTACTGGTAAAGCAGAGGTTGATAGCAACTGAGGTTTCTGGTCAAGATGATGGAGTAGGTAAAATCTGTGCTCATCTCATCCCATGACCACATCAATATTAAAACTAAATTATAAAGCAATCACCCTTGAAATCCACCTGATGACCAGCTAAATAGAACTATAAAGATTTAAAAAAGAAGCCATGTTGAGACTGGTAACAGAGGTGGAGGTGCAAAATGGGCTGGTCCCAGACACACATGTAGCGGTTAAGAACAGGGCAGGGTATCTTGGTTGCAGGGGTCCCCCAGAGGAATGAGGGGTCCCCAGTCCCACACCAGGCTCCACAGCCTTTAGCACCAGTGCCAGAAAGAAGAGTCCCCACAACATCTGGCTGTGAAAACTAGCAGGGATTCTGTCCAGGTGAGGCTGAGGGTTGCTGTCAACCCAGGTGTCCTCTTAAAGGAGGGGCGGAGAACGTCCATCCCGAGAGCCTTAAATCATTGGTCTGGCCCCGCCAAGGCATTAGGGGGGAGTTGATTAAATGTTTGACCAAATATAGCAGGCTAATTTTTAAGTTGATAATTTTGTATGGTCTGCAAATGATGTTATAAATATCCAAATGGCCCTTGGCAATAAAAAGGTTCCCCAACCCTTTCAAACCAACAACAAGAAAATTAACAACCTGCTTAAAAAATGGGCCAAAGACACCTCACCAAAGATACACAGAAGGCAAGTAAGCATTTGAAATCATATGTTAATAGGCAATTGCAAATTAAAACAAGAATGACTTATGACTACACTACCTATTAGAAGGGGCAACATCCAAAACACTGACAACAGTCAATGCTGATGAGAATGTGGAGCAACAATAACTCTCATTCACTGCCTATGGGAATGCAAAATGGTACAGTTACTTCAGAAGAAAATATGCCAGTTTCACATAAAACTAAACATACTCTTATTATACAATCCAGCAATCATGTTCCTTGGTATTTACCCAAATGAACTGAAAACTTATGTCCCCACAAAAACCTGAACCCAAATGTTTACAGCCACTTTATTCATAATTGTAGCTCAGTTGGTTAGAGTGTTACCCTGATACCCCAAGGTTGGGGGCTTAATCCCCTGTCAGGGCACATACAAGAATCAACCAATGTATGCATATATAAGTGGAACAACAAATCAATGTCTCTCTCTCTCTCAAATCAATAAATAAAAGTTTTTAAAAATTGTCAAAACTTGAAAACATTAAGATATCCTTCAGTAGGTGAATGGATAAATAAACTGTGATACATTCAGACAATGGAATAGTATTCAGCACTAAATAGAAATAAGTTATCAAGCCATGAAATACTTGGAGAAAACTTATATTCATAGTACTTATTTAGGAAGGCCAATCTGAAAAGATTACATATTGTATGGTTCCAACTGTATAACATTCTGGAAAAGGCAAAACTATGGAGACAGAAAAAGATCAATGGTTGTCATGGGTTGGGGGTGTAGAGAGGAATGAATAGGCAGAACACAGATTTTTTTTTTTTTTGGCAGTGAAACCACTCTGTATAATACTACAATAGTGGATAAACCAAAAGGGTTATCAGGTCAGCACGGGGCGGGGGGCAGTTAGGGGTGACCACACAGGCAGGCAGGTGAGAGATTAGGAGCCAGCAGTCCAGAATTGTGAGAGGGATGTCCGACTGCCGGTTTAGGCCCCATCCCCGGATCGGACCTAAACCAGCAGACATCCCCTGAGGGGTCCTGGATTGGAGAGGGTGCAGGAGGGGCTGAGGGGACCCGCCCCCCCCACCCCATGCACAAATTTCGTGCACCGGGCCTCTAGTAATTCTATAATAATGGATATACATCACAATGTACAACATTTAAAGTGAGCCCTAATGCCAACTGTGGGACTTGAGTGATAATGATATGTCAATGTAGGTTCATGGACTGTAATTAATGTACCATTGTGGTGCTTGATAATACGGGAGGCTGTGGGGAGGTGGGCACTCTGTATATGGGAACTCTGTACTATCTGCTCAACCTTGCTAGGGACCTAAAACTACTCTAAAAAATAAAGTCTGTTTTTAAAAAAGAGTTAAGAACTGTGCAACAATACACATTTGAGTTCATGATTGTCCAGCCTACTTTTTAACACAGTAATGTCAGATTATTAATGTCAAGTTCCTAAAGTCAAGTTCCTAAATTCAAGTTCCTAAAGTCAAGTCTTAAAAGTCTAAGAAGAGTGCATGAGACTAAATGTCCTGCTAGGCAACTTCTACTGATCACTAACACCCCTACTAGAAAAGTTTAAACACGGCTCTCCAAAGCCTTCTTGGTCATTTGGTGATTTTAATAGATCCGTTAAGATAGGCTACCTCCCTATAAAAGTCCCACAGCTACAGGGAAATGTTAAGATGGTTGCATAACTGTGTTTCTTACCTTGCTTGGGGCATTGTACATCGTATGTTATTTTATTAATGACAAGTTTAAAATCATTCATTAGCAAAAATCCCATCAAGGTTGAAGTTGCAATCTCGCTGCCATCTGAAAGAGAAAACAATGCAAAAATATATTCTTGTTTTAGAGCAGTAAGAACCTTTTCCCAATATATAGAGAAATACTTACTAACTCGGGTCTTTATAAAACAGTAGTGGGAGCTCCCTATACCCAACACTGTTCCCATTGGGAGGAATCTTTCCTTTTGCTCTACTGTTCATCTCACTGGACCATGCAGAGCAGGCAGGTGCTTCCTCTCTCACCCTTTACAGCCAGGCTGCGATCCAGACTGACGTCCCTAGGGAGACTGTATCTGCAGACAGTCACGGAAAGATTCAGGGGAGGTGGAAACTTTTACAGCAAGGCCAGAGAGGGTGAGGTGGCAGCTGTGAGCTGAGGATGTCACAACAGAGCTCATCAGGCTGCTCCTGGGCCAACCTGGCCTGCTGTGTTCTCCCTCGGTTCCTGCCCTCTGCTGAGCCTGGCTTTCTGGCAATCCCAATCTCAGAGTCCGCCGATGCTTACATTTCTGTTGCTTACAGCCAATCCAACAGGTCGTACCATTTTCAAAAGCCTGTTATTCTCTTATTTTTAATCACTATAGGTGATTGATTTGTGTTTGTTAAAACTTGGTAGGCAAACAGTACCACACACCACCACACACAGGGCTCCCTCCCTTTCTAGTCTGGGAAGGATAAAAAGAGGCAAAGCTACCAACGGTGGGGATGGCAGAGATAGTCATAAACATAATTAAACCTAAGGAGGAAATCTGCATTTCTGTGGTGTACTGTATGGAGGTAGAACGAGCGTCTAACAGTAATTACAAAGATTCTAGGAACATTTCAGGGAAAAAATCTCTTGGAAAATTTTAACCTCCGTGTGCTTTTGCACAGCCTCCCACATCGCCTCGTTTGTGTTATTATACTTTTGAATTAAACTTTAATGTAACCCAGATGTGAAGAAAGCAAAGTCATTGAACAGTAAGTAAGAGGCTGGTGCTGTGTAGGAATTTCTCTGTCATTACTCCTTCAGAACAGCGACATAAGTACGTCACAGCAAGTCGAGGATGAGTATTTTTCCTGGCCTGGCATTTGCTGGGCTACATTACACTGGAGCTATTTCAGCTACATTAGTATGTGTGTGACGGCAGTAATACTGCCAGTAAAATCAGGAAGACCCTGGTCGCCTGCCTCCCGTCTGCTCCTCTGTCGTTCTTTTGTTCCAGAGGCAGCAATTCAAGCCTGCACCTGCGTCTGTTCCTGGAATTTGGCTGTCTATCTCCTGTTTATCAGGTGAGGTGAGATCATCTTCTGAGGAACTGCCAAATAATTCAACCCACAGCATGGGCAAAACTGTGAACACTCTTTTCATGCCCAAACTAAATGCAGGCAAATTCCACCCACTGAGCCTCGTTTTGTTTATTTTATTTGGCACTCTGCTTTTATTTATTTTTAAATTTAAAACATTTAAATGTTGACATTATTGCAGGTGTCCCCATTCTCTCTCTGCTTTGCCTGCCCACCTTCACCCACCTCTGCCTTCCCCTCCCTTGGCTGTCACCCCACTACTGTGTGTCCATGGGGTAAGCATATATGTTCTTTAGTGAATCCCTTCACCTTTTTTATTCAGTCACCCACACCCGCTCTCCTCTGGCACCGGCCAGACTGTTCCATGCATCCATGCTCCTGGCTCCATTTCATTCATCAGCCTATTTTGTTCATTAGATTCCACATGTCAGTGAGATCATATGGTACTCGTCTTTCTCTGACTGGCTTAGCAGAATACTCTCCATGCTGGAGGCCAAGTCCACCGGGTCATAATAAATGTGAAAAGTCCTCTAAAGGCTGATGGGCTTTGACTTTCAGCAGGGCTGAATATCAGCATTATATTATCCTGCTGCTGGCCAAACAGCTGAGGGTAATTCCCCTAACCTGATAATCCTTCATTGTTTACCAAACCTTACCTTTGATGTGTGCGTCTGCTTTGTTAAAGGGCAAAATGTGTGAATAAAAAGCCGTGGGTCCAGACATTCAGGGAGCCCACGTCACTAGAGGGTGAGGCCTCCGCCTGGCTCCCCATGCCTTCCAAATTTGTATTTCTTGTCTAGTATATCCATTTATGTCGCAGCTCCTTCTCCAGATTCCTGAACCCTCACTGCAAAAGAATGCGGCATCTCCAGGTCTATCCATGCTGTTGCATAGGTTAAGAGTTCCCTCTTTGTTATAGCCATGTAGTATTCCATTGTGTAAGTGTACCACAGCTTTTCCACCTCTCCTCTGCTGATGGGCACTGGGTCGTTTCCAGATCTTGGCTATTGTAAACTGTGCTGCTATGAACACAGGGATGCATATCTTTCTTTTGATTGGTGTTTTGGGATTCTGAGGATATATTCCAAAAGGTAGCTCCATTTTTAATTTTCTGGTGGAAACCATACTGTTTTCCACCAGAGCCTCTTTTTAAAAAGATCAACAACACACTAATAGTTTCATCTGATTTTGTGTCATTTAAAAATGTATGTTTAAATGACTTCTACCACCAGAGCCTCTTTTTAAAAAGATCAACAACACTTACTAATAGTTTCATCTGATTGTGTGTCATTTACAAATGTATGTTTAAATGACTTCAATTCTTTTATTTTTTAATCCTCACCCGAGGATATTTTTCCCATTGATTTTTAGGGAGAGCGGAAGAGAGAGAGAAAGAGAGAAATATTGATGTGAGAGAAACACATCGATTGGCTGCCTCTGGCACTCACTCTGACCAGGGCCTGGGCAACCGAGATACATGTCCTTGACCAGAATTGAACCTGGGACCCTTCAGTCCGCAGGCCAATGCTCTATCCACTGAGCCAAACTGACGGGCAAAATGACTTCAACTCCTTAAAGCAATACTATAAAAAAACAAACTGCATATGATTTCTCAGTTGAAGTACTACATTATCCTTTATACTAATGTAGGAACAGCAAAAGGCTGACATGGAATACTTTGAAGGAGCTAATAATGATAAAGTGTTGAAATGTTTCCCCTATTCCTGAGCAAGTATTGATTTAAACCCCAATAAGTGTTTTCACTCAACCCAAAAGTCCCCTTTCTCTAAGATTTCTAGTCTTTTTCTTTGTGCTTTACTAGTATGTTTCAAAGCTGCTCAACCTATTTTTTATTAATAAGCAGGATGCACAACCATCCTTGCTTTAACGTCTTTATTTCATTCATTTAACAAGCACTTACTGAATACATACTACCTACCAGGCAGGCACTGTGCTCAAGGTCTGCATCTACCTGCTCTCAGAAGCTTAGGAAGGCAAGCCCTGTGGGGGAGGTTCATGGTTGTTCACTGCGCCTGTGACTGGGGGGAATGTCTGTCAAGTTCAGGGATGGAGTATTAGGCCATTGTGGCCATTGGGCTAAAACCCTGCTCTCTGATTCTGGATTTACCAGGAAAAAAGCTCCCCTTCCAGTTAAATCCAAAGTCCTCACAATAACATTCAACAAGGTTTTCCACACTCTGCCCCTCCCCACCTACTTCCATCCAGCTCCCTCCTTTGCAGCGGAGGAGTTGGCTCCCACTCAGGGCCTCTGCCTGGAGACTCCCCCCACCTACAGAGCTCTCATCTCTTCCAGGTCATCTTCTCCCATACTCTGGATAAAATAGCAAAGCCCTGCCCCTGCCATCCTTAAGCCTTCCACCCCAACACACACACACACACACACACACACACACACACACACTCCCCACCCCTCTCTGCTTTATTTTTCTCCATTTCACTTACATTTTATTTATTTTATTTCTTCACCTTGTTTCTTTCTCCCTTTAAAATGTAAACTCTACAAGAGCAGGGGTTTTTCTTTGTGCTACCTCTCACATCTAGAATAGTGCCTGGTATAAGTTAGTGCTCAATAATATTTGTTGAGTAATTAATCTTGATTTTTCCAACTTCTCTATCTATCCTTTATTAGTTCTGAATTTTGATAGGGAAGAAGAATGTTTATTTCCTTTTCAAAACTGTACCAGTATTCAACTTTTAAATAAGCTTATTCTTATTTAATAAAAGGCTAATATGCAAATCGACCGAACAGCGGAACGACTGGTCGCTATGATGTGCACTGACCACCAGGGGGCAGATGCTCAATGCAGAAGCTGCCCCCTAATGGTCAGTGTGCACCCACAGGGGGAGCGTTGCTCAGCCAGAAGCTGGGCTCATGTCTGGGGAATGCAGGGACAGTGGCGGAAGCCTCTCCTGCCTCCACGACTACGAGAGGGTGAAGGCCGGGCTGAGGGACCCCCGCATCCTAAGTGCATGAATTTCGTGCACCAGGCCTCTAGTACTACCATAAAATAACAATGCCAGTTTATTCATTTATAAAGAATAAACAATCCTTTATTCTATTTTAGGGGTAGTAAGTCTAAGGCCATATCAGAGCACAAGGACATAAGAGCCACATTTTAAATATGATTTTATTGATTTCAGAAAGAGGAAGAAGGGTAGAAACATCAATGATGATGTTCTGCACAAGCCCGCAACCCAGGCATGTGCCCTGACGGGAATGAAACCATGACCTCCTGGTTCATAAGTCGACACTCAACCACTGAACCACACCAACAAGGCTAAAAGCCATATTTTAAATTTAAAATTTCTAAATGATTAACCACCTATGCTGTTTTTTAAAAATATGTAATGCTCACTTTGGCAGCACATAGACTAAAATGGGAATGATCCAAAGAAGATCAGCATGACCTCTGCACAAGGATGACAAACAAATTCGGTAAGTGTTCCATTTTTTTAAAAAGTATATTCTTCATATAAGCATAACCAATGGACACAAGACACTGGGGGGTAGAGGAGGCTGGGGTAAGGTCAAGAGGGAAAATAAAAAGGAGACAAATGTAATATTCTTTGTAATACTTTAAGCAATAAAACAAAATTTTTTTAAAAAAGTATATTCTTCCTGAGAACCAATTCTGTCAAAAGCATACTAGATTGAAACTGCTGTATAACAAAGACAAATAAACCATTTGTGTATTTTAATTGTTCACTGGATATTTTAATCATTGAAACTACATTTTAAAATATTATTCAAATTTTGCTGAAAATTACACACTGATGGCCGTGTCACTAAAATTTTCTCAGGGCTGAGTTTTGGCTCAAATAAACCCATAAAAATTCAAAAATAAAATAAAATTTACTCCGGGCTAAGTTTATGAAATAAGTAATCAAAACGTGCACTAATTAATATTACTGATTCTAAAAGGTCTCAGTGAAGACCAACCACCTATACTAATAAAAGGGTAATATGCTAATTAGGGTGAATGTCTTCTGGACATCCATCCGGACAAAGCCACAGCGGCTGTGAGAGCCTAAAGCCGGCACCATGCGGGAAGGGCAGGCAGGTTTGGCGCTCACACGGGAGGGACGGGCCGAGCCGGCACCTTGCAGAGGCAGCGAGAAGGGGGCCCCACACCCCCTTCCATAGTGCAGCCTGGTTCCACTGCTGCCCCTTCGGCAGAGATAGCCACAGAGGCAGCAGCGCAGGCCCGGTCCACAGAAGCTGGATGGGGTGCAACCTGCTGTGCCTCAATCTCCCACAGCCCCTCCCACAGCCAGCCTGGCCCCAGATTGCCCCCCACCCACCAGTGGGCGGGGAGCAGGGCCAGCACTAAGAAGCGAGGGCCGAGGGCCAGCAGCTGGCAGTGGCGGCAGCAGCAGCAGGGTGATGGGGGCAGCGACTTCCCCTGATCAGCCCGGTCGCCTCCCGCAGAGGAGGACATACCTGAGGGCTCCTGGACTGTGAGAGAGGGCAGGCCAGGTTGAGGGACCCCTCCTCCCACCCCAAACCCCGTGCACAAATTTCATGCACTGAGCCTCTAGTTTATGATATAAAGAATCATCTCAAAAAATTAAAAGTGGAACTGCCTTATGACCCAGCAATTCCACTTCAGGGAATTTATCTGAAGAAACCCAAAACACTAATTTGAAAGAATATGTGCAGAGTTATTTACAATAGCAAGATTTGGAAGCAGCCCTAGTGGATCAGTAGATGAGTGGATAAAAAAGTGTGATACATTTATACAATGAAATAGTACTCAGCTGTAAGAAGAAAGAAAATTTTACCCTTTGCAACAGCATGGATGGACCTGGAGACCATTATGCTAAATTAAATAAGCCAGTCAGAGAAAGACAAGTACCTATGATTTCACTCATATGTGGAATTTAATAAACTGAACTAGCAAACAAAACAGAGACAGGCTCATCGATAGAGAGCAGGCAGACAGCTTTAGTGAGGTGTTGTGTGGGGGATGGAAGGATTGAGAAAAAAAAAGAGGAAGAACTCACAGGCACGGACAACAGTGTGGTGACTGCGGTGGTGGAAAGTGTATAGTGGGGATAAATGGTGATGGAAAAAATAATTAAAGAATCAATTAAAGAAGGAAAAAGAGAAAAAGACAAAGTTGAAAAAATATAGATATATATACCTGCTGTGAAGATGGCTGCATTTTTGACACCTTTATCTTCATTTTGTAGGTCCTGAAGAAACGAACCAACTGTTGATAACATTGGTTTGACTACAAATTGACAGCGTTCATTTCTGGATGGTAGAGTGAGTGTTATCAAGGGAAGGCCATGTCTATAACTAACTGTTACTTCTGTTAAGAAAGAAAAGACAATATAAAAATAGATAAAATTTACTTCTTATAAAGATAACTTTAAAATACAAAACCTCTAAAAGGAATGCTTAACCATGTATTCATAAGCTCCTGAATTCCTGCAATCATTTGCATGACTCTTATAGTGCCTTCACCATACTACGGTTTACAAATTTCCCTACCATTCTATGATGTTTTATCATAGCATATATCACACTTTATTATGATTATCTTAGAGTCTTCCTAGGTAAATAGTTAAGTTTTCGAGGGCAGAAACGTTTCTCATTCATTTGTAAGTGTTCTGATTGCTGGGGTGGAAGTTTGCCAAAAGACATCAGCGATATCAGGGGAACAGAAAAGGGAGGAACTGAACAGAGCCAGATGCAGGGTGGCATGGGGTGGGGGAATGCAAGGAAAGTCCGTTTTGCTCAAAACTCACACTCTCATTTGATTTGGAAGAATGGCACTAAATCAGCATAGGAATCAAAGAAGTGCTCTGAAAGCTTACCATCAGGTGGCGCCACTGTGCTGTAAAGATGTGCTTGATAGCATTTCAGACTTCCACACAGCTTCACACACAAAACCTGTAAGAAACGTTATTTTTTCTTTTAGAAAAAGTGGGAAAGTTGAAGCAAGTACCTTTGCCGTAAGATTCCTTTTAACCTTATGAGGCGAGCATGATGAAAAGCCCAGCTCCCTGCACAGGCCTGGGTCCGCCCTGGGGGACCTCCCTCACCCTTTCCGGCCGCAGGGCTGGCTGCCTGCTAGGCGGGTGAGCTGTAGCACTGACACCAGGACCAGGTTCTCCCCTCGGGGTGAGAGGACTCTGAAAAACGCTAGAGTTCTGAGGCAATTTTTAAATTTGGTTCTTCCTTTTAGGAGATGATCTAAAATAAACGGATGCAAGTATGTTCTAGGTATTTGCATCTCCAAGTCGGGACCCTGAGCCAGAAGCATCAGCACGCTCTAGGAGCTAACTAGCAATGCGGAATCACTGACCCCACCCAGACTGATTGGATTAGAACCTGCAGTTTAACAAGATCCCCAGATGACTCTCCTGCACAGCACACTTTGATAAGCACTGCTCTTGGTAGGTCTGTGTTGTCCGATTTGGTAGTCACTAGTCACCTGTGGCCATTTATTTTAAATTAATTAAAATTAAGTAACCCTAAAAATTCAGTTTCTCAGTCACCTGGGCCCCATTTCTAGTGCTCCATAGCTCTTTGTGCAGAGTGGCTGCTGCTGGACAGCACAGGAAGAGAGCATTTTCTTCGTCACAGAAAGCTCTGCTGACAGTCTTCTGGTTTCTACTAGTGCCTCAGTGCACGGATTCGTGCACATTGAAAGGAAATTAATTAGAAAGTGGCCAGCAGGGCAGGACTGGGCGAGACGGGCCGGACATGCCCTGAAGCCAACCTCCCACGGTCCTTCCCTGACTGGCCGCACCTGGGGTGGCACTGAGAGGGCGGTTCTCAGGTGGTGCATCCCATAATTGGGCTCCCTCCTCTCTGGTTCTGGGTGCGTCACCTGAGAACCGTCACTGCCAAGTCACCGCAGCTTGGCAGCTCTTGCATTGAGTATCTACCCCCTGGTAGTAAGTGCACGTCATAGCTACCGGTCAGATGGTCGAACAGTCAAACGGTAGGATGGTCGCTTAGTCTTTTATATATGTAGATAGGGCTTTTAGCTTCTTATTTTTACTTTCTATGAAAAAGTTCATTCTATTCTTTCTGCTTTTCTACTATTTTAGAAATCACAAATTGAGTGGTTTCCTTTACATGTTTAAAACGATGAATAAGTAGTTAAAAAAGTGTTCACTGCTACAAAATGAAATGACACTGACTCAAATAATGTTTCATTATGCTCAAAATCAAAGCAATCCCATCAATAATAAAAACATGCAAATACTTATTTCTAGTATTAAACATACCTAGGCAATTAGTTTCAACAAAATATCATCTATCACATTAAGGCTGTTCATTTGAATTTTATTTCTAAAACTATAACTCACTACTAGATGAGAAGGAAAAAAGCTGATTATTTCTTAGAATAGGTGCAACTCTCAAAAAAAATATATAGAAGTTCTCCAAGTTTGATAATGGATATTACAATACTATCTATTACTTTTAGTAAAACTACATGAAACAGAAAAAAATGTATCCATTTGAAAATATGTCAGAATTAATTCTCTACCAAAATACGTCTCTTAAAATATTTAATGATATCAATGATTCTCCATGTATAAAGGCTAAATATGAACATGTAGGGGCTAAAAGTTAAAGCCCCTCCCTTTACTTCACAATCCCTACCTTCCCCCCCTTTTTTTTTGTTAGTGGTAACACTCTCTTCTTGGCCAAATCTGATACAGGTCCTGTAAGCTTCACTAAGCCCCATCCTTGGGCAAGTCCTCCAAGAGCCCAGGTTTAGCAAGAATCCTGTCAAGTTGGTTTCGCCAGAACCCTCCATACCTGATCAAATTCTTCATCCTCCACCATCTCCAAAGTATTATCTGATCACCCTAGTCTGCCTTCAGCAAGAATCCTGTTAGGTCAGTGTAGCAAAGATTCACCAAACCCCACTCTGCTCCTCAGATATAAATCCCGACTTTTCCGTGTTGTATTTGGAGTTGAGCTGAATCTCTCTCTCCCAGTGCAAAGACCCCCTCTTGTGGTCCCCCTGAATCAAGTCTACCCTCCTGTTTTACAGCAAGTGCCAGGAATAACTTTTTCTTTGGCAATGGCTTGATGAGCATCCTTCCAGACTTTTTTTCTATCTACTACCACCTTTATATATGAGTTAACGCCTATGCTGAAGTCTGTATAACGCTAAAGGTATTAAAGACAGTTCATGAGTCAGGTTCCTAGATAGCAATATCAACAATTCCTCATCATAAAGTACTTATCATTTAATGGGAGATGAAGTTTCTGGTCTACTATCAAGGAAATCATTTTAAGATGCACCCTTTTTTTTTTTTTTTGAGGAATAACAGTCAATTTTACTGGACTCAGACCAGGAGTCCATGGGTCTTGAGGACCTCTGTGAATTTGTTAATTTTCTTCTCCATGTTCTTTTCGGCCTGTTTCCGTAGCCTCGTGAGCTGCTTTTTCTTGCGGTGATGGATCTTGGCCTTCTCCGTCCTCTTCTCCTCCAGAGTGGCTGTGACGGCCTGGCACTTCCAGCCCACCTCATGAGCCAGGCGCCCACGTAGGCAAACGTCCGGGTGGGCTTCAGACACACAACCTGGGGGGCGGCGGGAACCACCATTTGCTTTTTCTTGTCATAGGGCGGTGGGATCCTGTCAAATGCCTTGAGGCGGTCCAAGGCGGCCTGGCCTCGCTTGGTCTTGTGGGGCAGCATGCACTTGTTTCTGTAGAAATTGCCAGAAATGTTGATGCCCTCATAGTGCACAACCACCACGTTGCGGCCCAGCAGTACCTGCTTGGCCACGATGGCCGCCAGGCGGCCCAGGAGATGGCCTTGGCCATCAGGCACCAGGACCTGCCCCTCCGCCATCTTCGGCCGCCGCCTGGGAAAAGCACGATGCACCCTTTTGATGACCAGTGTTATGCAGTTAGACAGACATGAGCAGAGCAGGGACAATGGGCCAGGTGCAGAACCTCACCAGGGCGGAAAGCCTGGCTGCCTAGAAAGGGGCAAAGCTTGGAAAACAAAGACCTTGCCCCCAGAGTAACCTTTTCTCCCCTAGCATATTGCTGGACAGGGGATTTAGATCCCCTGACCTTTAATATCGCTGGTCATGTGGTTTAGACCCCCTGACCTTTCCCTCCCTAAAGATAACATCTAGGCCTCAGTTGTATTTCAGCTCCAGGCCCAGAAAAGCAGCAAAACCAGACAAGTGACTCCGTGGCTGCCTCAGCACCAGCTACATTTACTAATGACTCCAGCCCTGGTGCCGGCCAATCAGAGGAGAACATAACCCTGAGAGAGCACACCTGGAAAGCTGATGTTTTATTGAGACCCTCCCCAGAGACCTCCCCTACGATTTCCACCTGCAAGAGAGAGATTAACACCCTCAACACAAAGGACTCATCCCTCCCACTCCTCCAGGTGAGCATGCCTGTGCCAACCCTTTCCCCTCACCTCTCCACACAGGTATGTATCCCCTAAACTCCAATAGGCCCCTCAAGACTTGCAACCAGAGGAGCAATGGGCAGAGGCATTTTGTTCTGGGCTAAACCCCTGAACCGATCTCCAAGGTCCTCTTTTCTCTGACTTCCCAGTGAGCCAAAGCAGCCCCACCTAGGCTCCCCTGTTGCTTCTTCCATGCCCTTCCTTCGTTCACTGTTCTAAGTGTGTTTTTGCTGTGGCCAATAAATTCTTGCTTGTTTTGCTGCACTTTGTCTCTTGACTGAACTCTTTCCTTCAAGAAGACAAGAACTGAGGTCTTGTTGTCTTGCTGGTAACACCAGGAAATGCGGAAAGGCAGAGAGGCCAGAGAAAATTATCAGGGCTTTATCAAGCATTTGTGTGACTAACAATCACCTGGAGGGCTGGCTTAAAACTCAGATTCCTGGACTCCACGCCCAGGGATTTTTGGTCTAATAAGTTTAAGGTAAGAGTGTGTATAGAGTTTGCATTTTTAATAAACCCCAGGATTATACTGAAGTTGCAGATGTGTAGACCACATTAGGAGTAGCTGACGCTCAATGGCTTTCAAGACACTTAAGTTTCTGCATTTAATTCCACATTTTAGTGCTGGGTTAAGGGTTCAGGCCTTCAAATGATAGCATCAGGTCAAAAGGCTGACTACGGCTTCCCTTTCATCACTATCTTTCCTAAATACAATTCTAACCACTTCACACCCCTGCTTAAAGCCCCTTAGCCTTATATGAAGTAGAAAGAATAAAGACCCCAGGGTTGAAAAGAAGGGGATTCTAAATTTAATTCAGCCACTTAACAGCTGAGTGGTTCCAGGTAAGTTGTAAGAGGGACCACTCTGTGCTTCAGTTTTCTCAAGGGTGAGGTGAGGATAGCAACAGCTTTCTTGAAGAGCTGATGTAAAGATTAAAACAAAGCATTAAGCAAGTGCAAGCCATAACACATGCCTAACGGCTAACTCACCTCCCAGCTTTATCACTTACTATTTATTCCATGCAACAGGAACTTGGGCCCCAGGCAAATGTGCTTTGTGTCATTAAAGTGCTTTCTTTATCTGCTTCTACCTAACTGTCATTCCCTCAAGGTCCAACTCCAATGCCTTTTCCTCTTTCCTGCTGGCTATGACATCAGAAAAAGTACAGGCTTTGCAGTCAGAACTAAGATGGGATTCCAGCTTCAAGATATACCAAGTACATCCTGACCAGGTCGCTCAGTTGGTTAGAGGATCTTCCTGGTATGCCAAAGTTGTGGGTTTGATCTCTGGTCAGGGCACATACAAGAGTCAACCAATGAATGCGTAAATAAGTAGAACAACAAATCGATCTCTCTCTCTCTCTCTCAAATCAATAAAATAACTATTAAAAAGATGTACCAGCTACTGTGATCTTTGACCGCCAGAGGGTTCAGAAGAAATGGGCTGTGAGATAAAGAAGGGAACATGTTGGGGGTGGGGGTGGAGGGTGGA